CCACTAAGCTTACAGACCGACAACAAACTTCCATTAATTGAGGGTACGTACAAGACGTTTTGAATCTTAATCGATCGCCTTTTTCCATCATTGTTTACTACATGAATTTGTACTGTACCGATTCCCTCAACTGCCACTCGTTGACCATTTGCCACGAAGATCTTCTCCTGATGATTCTCGTTAAATTCTGTGAACATACTTTTATTAGATGTAACATGTGATGTCGCACCTGAATCGACTATCCAACCATGGCTAATTCTTGAAGTTAAAAATAGGAAATCGCTTTTCTCCGATGCTTCTACTAAATTTGCTTGTTGCTTGCCGTCACTGCTTTTTTTTTTGTCTTTTACTTTTTCTTTCTTGTCTTTCAAATACTTTTTGTACTTCGGGCATTTAGGCTTAAGATGTCCTTTCTCCTTGCAGAAGAAGCATATGATGTCCTCTCGATTTTTAATGACGCGTTTCTACTTACACGTAAAGCCATCGTGCCATTTGTTTCACTAGAAGTTTTATCCTTATGTTTGTTCCATTCATCTAATAAACGCTGCTCTACTACGGCCGTTGTCAAATTGGTTTCTCTTGACTCTAACGCTGTCACCAAAGTATCATAACTTTCTGGTAAACTACCTAGTAGAACTGCGACATGCCAATCTTCGGTTTTTAGTTCCTTACCGATATCGTTCATTTGTTGAAACGCTTCGGCTATGCGTGTGACGTGCATTTCCAGATCTGCGCCTTCTTCTAATTTCATATTCATAAGACGCTTTATTAGTCGAACCACACTGTTAGCGTTGCTCTTCTCGTGATACGTTTTCAGGGCCTCCCATGCAGATTTAGCAGTTTTCGTGTTTCGAATAAGTATCAATTGCTCATCTTCCACATTCAATCCGATGGTCGCATATGCAAGAGAATCTTTCTTTTTCCATGCTTCCGTTTCAGGATTCGGTGGATCTGCTATAACGGTTTCCCACACACCTTCCTTCGTCAAGAGTAATTGCATCTTGAACTTCCATACGAAATAGTTCGTATTATTTAGTTTGGTTATGGCGTACTTTGTATCCATGCTGCACGTTTTCCTGCTGTCTTATTTCAATACTGGGCCCAAAACCTGTTAGAGTTTTGCGATCAATGTAAGTATCTCGTGTATGAAATAAGCAAGTCCTGCCGATTATGCGTTTCAATTATAGATTTATTATAAAAACACAAGTCAACGTTATACATGAGAGAGAGAATGGAAGTGACCACAGAACACACGACAAAAAGAAAAGGAAGTACTATATGTGTGAACCATGTTACAAAAACCAACCTAACTATTAACGATACTACCAACCTCTCAAACTAAAACTTTACCATAGAAATCTAAATAACATGAGAGGTTACTCATACAAAAATGTCTATAATAATTACAATATCCAACAAGCCCCTCTTGCAGAAAATCGGCAAGATGCGCGGAAGAGCGGCGCGGGCCGAAGGACCAACGGCACGAATTTGGAAGAACTACTGTTCGGTGTGCAGTGACCAAGTGAGAACCAATTCCGGAGCTCGTCCCGACATCGCCGAAGGACCAAACTCATTGTAAGCCGCCTCTCGGGTAGCCGTAAGATAACGTCCGGTCATGGCTGGTAGCGTGAGTCAATTTTTATGTACACTGTGTCTCACTCAGGACTAATTTTAATACCGCATTTGTTACCGTGAGCACATTTCTTTGGCGCGCTCAGTTACCGTGTTACCGCATATCCAGTCGGCTCCGGATACCGTATTAAAGTCTCTCTCTCGGGAACTAGCTATCCACAATAAAATCTCTCTCGTTTAGCTGCCGTTTTTTCGTTACCGTTTTCGTATTGTCTTTTACGTGAGAATATCGTCTCGCTTATATACCGTACCGTCCCGCAGCGCGGGTATCGTAAAGTCTTTTGTTAGAAATAAAGTTTTGATTATTGAATGTCAGCGAACGGAATTTACGTGTGAATGCTCTCAGCGAGACAGCAGATACCGTCATTATAGCGTCTCCGCGAGAAACGAAGGTAATCATGAAAATTACCGCTTCACGACACATCGTTTTTGTAGTTAGATAACCATTCGTTTCAAACTCTGTTTATTTGATTTTCACCGGTCTTGTTTGTTTCGTCGACATAACTGGTGTCGATCTTACAAAGTATTATCGAGTCGATTGCCGTTCTCTGTAATTACGTTTTCTGATTTCGTTACTGTTGCCGAATTTATTATATGTTACCGATCTTACAGGCGGATTTTCTAGCTGCCGTACTTAATGAATCGCTGCCGATATACTGGCTACACCGAATAATATCCGATCGTCGCACTACTAATAGCCCATTTTTAACCTTGTTCAAACTGACATTATCATAATAAATTATTGTTAAATGTGCAATATTGAATTGTTCTTGTGTTCGCCTCTCACTCCGGATCCTCAACGAAAATAAAAGAACTGCGCCCCTCTGCCATATACTGAGCAAGAAGCGGCCGGACATATTAAAGTAATTTATTGGAGTTACCGTTACCGCGGTGCAATTACACGCATCTGGCGCCCATTTTCGGATACCGATTTTTAAGTTACCGCTGTTACCGCTCCAGTTACCACTGTTACCGCTGTTACCGTCCTGGTTACTGAATCGTGCATTTATTGCCGATATCGCGCAAGTTACCTAGCTCCCGAATTACGTGGAGTACCGCGGGTTACCGTTTACATTGGGCGTGTTCCCTCGGACGTGGCGTGCCCGAAGCTAGTTCATGTCGCAAATATTGGCGCCCAACGTGGGGCCCACGCCGTGAAAAATCAGTGATAACTAATGAAAATAAAATCTGGAGAGTGAGAGAGTAAAGCTTAGTATAATTAAATAATTATGGCTGTGTCTTTGTCATTGTACTAATCCACTTATTACAGTTAATGTTCTTTCATCTGTGAATACGGCAAATGTATCGTCCTCAATATCTATGTTGTCCTACGCAAGTAAGTTGCGATAAATAGATTTTAAGTCCTATTAAAAAAGGACTCTGGAATCTGTGTGTCATCGCATATATACACGATACCGCTTACTGTGTTGGCGCGTGCCGCAGCGCTCAGCTGTAGAGTTTTTTTCTACACGTCGCTTGTTCGCGGCTGAGCCGCGACGTAAACATCGACACACGTAATAACATAGGTAATACCGTCTAGACCGTTTTCTAGGAAATTAGCGAAGCTCGCTTTTCGAGAAAATAAGTAGGTCAGTAGAAAAACCGAGCCATTTAAATTCTAATTCTTTTTCAGCGTTATTTTCATATTACCGATTCCGAGCGAAGAGATAGATAGATTAGCGAAGAGATAGATTATAGAGTGCCGTTTATCGTGTCTTTCAGGTATTAGTTACATGCGTAGCCCGATTTTCGAGACCTTTTATTTTACAAAAGATATTATTAAATATAAAAAACATGAATATCGTTATCATAAAAAGCTTAATATATATATATATATTTCTTAATATTCTATGTCTTATAATATTTTTGAATTGTATAATGTAGCAAAGGATCTCTTTGTATTTATATTAGTCGTTTTTTAATTTTATAGCTTTTGGTTTAGATTTTTATAGTAATAAAAATTGTGAATACACAAAGTTTGAAAATTATATATATTGTACATCCGCAAGAAAAAGTAACACAAGAAAATTTTTCGAATTTTGTTTTATGTGCGGATAGTGTTCTAAATATATCGGTTTTTAATCAAGGAAAGTGATAGAAGTTGAATTTAATACTTTTCGCGTCAGTCCGATACGTTTAATACTGTTGTAAATAAATAATTTTAAAATTATTGTTTAACCAAATATGGACATGTGAAATAATTTTTCGCAAAATCAACCTGCTATAGACCATTTATAATTTGCGACAGAATTTGTGATAAATACTAATTTATAATATTATTAAGAGGAAACGTTATTTTTAACGCAATTTCTTCTTTTCTTTTTTCTGAATAATTTGATATTTTTTATTTGTATCACTTTTTGTGCGGGTGTCCGATATGTCCATACTTTAATATGAAACGTTCATGAATACGTACACTTATTGAAGCAGCGTCGATTTCAATAGATATTTTGAAAATAGAATTATTATTATCTATTGTATAATTGATATAAGTTGGTACCAAGTTCCGTGATGTACATTGACACTCTATGTTCTTTGGACATTGGAAGGCAAAACTGCTTGTTATAGCGACGAACCAAATTACAATGCATGTATTATGACGGGTATTCATTTTCGTTTGATTAACCTATGAAAACTATTTAGTAAATGCATTATTAAATAAAGATTAATTTAATAATTACATAGAAATAGAACTTTTTTTAAATTTTAAGATACTGCCTGACATTGGATAAATTTATTTCTTAAAGTTTCAAATAAGTCTCAAATAACTGAAAAATTGTAGAAACTGCATTAAAAATGCATTTTTTCTTGTTAGTATTTTGTATTATAATGTGTATAATATGCGTTAAAACTATAATACATGGATTGTTTCTGACAATTTTTGCACAGAGAAGTGCAGTTGTTTGTTCACAAAGTGAACAGCGCTAGGTTTAATTTAGCTGTGTTTGTAAATTGTGTTAGAAACAAAATAGTAGAATAATTAAACACTGTTTATCGTTTACGTAAGTGACATATAAATATACATGTTATTCTTGCAAATAATAATTTGAATCTACTTCTTTATTATTTCTTCTTTATTATTTTTAAATATTATATTATGGCAAGTAAGAAGCAATGTTCAAAAAAACAGAAATTTATTATTTTCGAAAATAAATTACATCAATAAATCGAATAATACTGTATTAGTCACCGATATTTATTTTATAATGATTGTAGAACTTTCACATTTTGCAAACGCATTTACTACACCGCAAATATACGGTTAAATTCTACACTACATACGTGACTGATCATTAACAGAAGCTGACGCATAAATAGATTTAAAAAAATAAAATTTATATTATTTACTTACCTTGTATTATACTAGATACGTTGCAAATAATTGCGAGCTCTGTTTTTAGATTGCTTTCTCTAATAAAAATTAATGATGACAAATGATGCTGAATAATATTATTTCTGTCTACGGATATCACACATAAGCACAGCTTGGCATGTTCCTCGACATTTCTGATAAATCGGATTTATTTTAATAGTAAACTATATTCCTAAGAAAATCCATATAAGCAATGGGTTAACAAAACGACATAAAAGAATTATGATCATTTAATTTACAGAACTATAATCACATTTCACACTCGCACTCAATATTTAAAAAAAAATTGTCAACTACAATCAACCATTCGTTAGACGGCTGATGGACGTTTGCACATTTTTGTCTGCAAGTTGGAGAGTTGTTATCCTTCCATTAGTTCGACGTTGACTGACTGAGTGATCCCGAACTTTTCTTTTTCTCTTTTGATTGTTTCCGCTCTTTTATTCTTTCTCTGTTATTTATTTCTTTTAGCTTTGTATAACTAAACAATATACAAGAAGTGTGTTTAATTGTATGCGTGATACGTAAAAAATTAAAAATACAAAACATAAATAATTTATTTTTCTTGACGATATTTTTAGACTTTCTAAAACAATTATCAGCATCTCACTTAATTAATCTCGAATAATCAGCAGAATTTCCTATCACGTAACCGCAAAATGTAAGGAAGAAAGGAAAATATGGAGAAAGATTACCTTATTGCGTGCTAATTTTTTAAATACGTGATGTTTGTCACATTATTATATTTATACTACACATACTGCACATACTGATATTTAAATTTAATTAGAAAAGTTAATTACAAAATAAGTTACACAAAAATTAAAACTAATTTAAATTAATAATATTTTTAAATATTTATATTTCTATTGCTTAAAGACAATAAACAACATTTGTCAATGAATAATATATTGTCAATGTTTCTAAATTGTAAGTGATATATTTATATACGTATGTATATTTTGCTATATTTCTGCTCATAACTAAAAGTACAAATAGGTGAAGTTAAGTATCATATAGGGTTACCCATTTTCAATGCCAACCTAAAATATGTTGAAAAAATTGCATTATTCAAAAAATGTTTTATACAAAAGTTGAAATTTAGAGAAGCGGTAAACTTATGGCATAACAACATGCACTGCGCAATTTTACTGATAACAGATTTTGTTACAAAGAAAATTAGTTCTTTTTTTGATATCATAAATGTTCAGTTTAGGTGGCAATTAAAAAATAAAATGTAAAATGTATTAAAAAGATAATTAAAGTTTTTAAATATATTTTGAATTTATATATATATATTTGCCTCATTTTTTATATTTTGAGATTGTTTTGATATATGTGTTTACATATATGCAAAATTTTTATAAATATATTTAGCTTACTCATATTGAATTCAATTATTATTCTTTTTCTTTTTATTTTAGGATTTGCAATGCAGCGCGGAATTTGAGTAGCACACTAAGAGCAACCTGCGAAACATATCAATTCTCAAGCCGCAGGTCGAGAAGCAACTTTATTTACCAGAATATTGAAGAAACTTTCTTCTAGACACAGTAAATAGGTTTTTAGAATATTCAATTTCTCATTTTAAAATTAAAAAAATGAGACATCGTATTACATTAAAATTATAGCAACATTTAATTTAGTAAGACGAAGTAAGACAAGTGGCAAAACAAATTTGACTAAAATACTAAGGCGTTAAATAAAGCAATATATAAGAACAAAGTCAATTAAATTTTTTTATTTTATTTGTGAAGATATTTTGCCACAAATAAATTTCACGATCAAAATTTTTGTTTGTTTTTAATAATTAGATTCTTTCTACTTCCCACATTTTACACTAACAATTTCACGATAAATCGTACTTACAGTTGGAACAGTAGCTGATATAGTACTAACGTAATTGCAGTGCTAGCCGCTTTGATATATTTTTGTAAATCAGAAAAAAGAGCGTGCTTTTACTCATAAATAGATTTACTTAGTTTTAGAAGAAGTTCAGGTCGGATCCAATATTATAAAGTACGTGTGTACATCTCTTTTTACCTTTAATATTTATGTAAATACGTTACATATTTCTTTGAAACTGTTGCATACATTACATATATGTTACTTCTTATAATAGATTGACCCTATCGAAAAGCTAAAGTTTCGCTCCATGCTTCGAATCCCACACAATTCTCAACGTACAGTGATAATCTTTCGCATACATAGCAAAATTGTATTATTTTTGTTTTAGGTTGTATTATTAAGTTGTATAAATTATGGGATAATACTTTATTTTTAATATTGTAATAAATCATATTTATCATTTTTACTCGCTGTCAAATCTTCTCTTTCTTTGTATTTTAGAAAAAAATTTTTTACTTGCAGTTGTATCAATTTCATTACTCATGATTATAGCAATATCCGTTGGTAAAAATCAGTAAATATCATTCACGATAGAGTGATCGTAAGTGACTTAGGAAATACAATAAATGAGTTTTTTGTTATCTTTGTTTGTTCACAGTTCATGATTCTACAGTTTAAATTCGAGAACCTCTCTTCGAGCATGGTTTCTTTTCGGTCGTCTGGATTGATGAGGCAGCGCGTATCTTAATTTATCCCAAAACCAAGGATCTCCCCACTGAACGTACGTGTTCATTGATATGTACGCTTTTAGTTCAGGATCCAGATCATCTCTGGGTCCGATGTCACCATACAAGATTAGTATCACTCTTGCTCGACCTTCGCTTAACGCTTGACGATGAGCAGCCCGAAATTCCATTCTTCCCCAGATGCTCTTCAAGAAATTTGGCGACAGCACCACTATTGTCCGTCTAGAATTATCCACGGATCTAGCAATATTATCCGGTATCCATTCGCCCGCTAACCAATCTCGATAATGAACACACAATTTGAATGGTGTTGGGCCACTCTCGAGGTTCGGTATCAACTCGTCTGCTATAAAATCGTGATCCTTGTGCGAGAAGCTCACAAACGCATCGTACAATTTGTTCTTATCCAACTCCTCTTCCGTAACACACCATAAACACCACTGATGCGCAAAAAGCCATATTTTAATGTGTTCTTGGTATTTGTAATACAGACCAAAAATACCACCAATTAATCCAATAAGAGCAATTACTGCACTGATGCTGATAATCATTGTTACGTGAGACGGACAAAAATCGTCCCAGGTCATTTCTGATATGGATGTATTCTTTCTATGACATATTACTTTATAATCTTCTGGCATTTTGATTATTCCGGATTCTGAATAAATAAATTTATAGAAATCTCTAGCATCACAGTCGCATTCCCAAGGATTTTCATATAACGTTAAATGAGTTAAATTGGCAGAATTTCTCCAAAATCTCAGCACATCAGGATGTATTCTTGATAATTTGTTATTGTGTAGCTCCAAATCCTGAAATGTGTATATGTTCAGTATGATTCAAATTTTAATGGTAAAGTTTAAGATTCTTTTATAATACTTTTAAGGATATATAATTTTTATAATTTTATATTTCTGCCATATACAGGATGTTCATTTGAAAACTTTCCAGCTGATTATCTTGAAAAGTATGAAAGATACAAAAAAAAGCTAAAACACGTGTTCCATGATTTCGAGGGGGAAAGAGAACGGCATTATCAATTTTTTATTTGGAAGGCGTTTTCAACGTAATTTGAAGGTCAAATTTGTTTTTTAAATGGAAACCTATATTTTTTATTGCAGAATTATATTCTACACAAAAAAACAAGTAACTTCTATAGGAAACATTTTTTTATTTGATCACTATTTTAAGAGATATTTAAGAAAATAGTAAGGCCTAGTTACTGCATAAAATTTTGTCATTTATTATAACAAATGTTCAAAATGTTCTCCGTTGTTTGCTAAACAATAATAAAGACGATTCTCAAATTCTGAACGAACATTTTGGAAAATATCTGTTGGAATAGCTCTACATTCCTGTACAATTCTTTGACGCAAAGAATTAAATGTAGCAGCAGTTCTACGAGCACACTGATCTTTTTCTCCATAAATAAAAATAATTTTAACTTGTTCTTCTAAAGAATACACCATTTTATAAAGTTTAATTATGATATTCCTTCAGATAATCTCTGGTACAAGTCTCACATTTGACTGAATAGTACACTGTTCTATTGAAAGACAGAAAGGAACGGGATTTAACACAACATAAACGATCTGATCAACTTTGTTTTCGAAAGGTACGTATAAATATCAACAATTTGCGTCAAAGTATTGTACAGGAATGTAGAGCTATTCCAACAGATACCTTTCCAAATGTTCGTTCAGAATTTGAGAATCGTCTTTATTATTGTTTAGCAAACAACGGAGAACATTTTGAACATTTGTTATAATAAATGACAAAATTTTATGCAGTAACTAGGCTGTTATGATTTATCGAAGGTACAAAGAAAACGTGTGCACTCACTTGCGGTCAATCTAAGAGAGAGCTTTATTGTCGGAAACGGAAAACATACATAAGCGCCATCGGATAGGCGTTTGCTTACTATTAGGCTACGGCGCGGGAAAAACAAATAAAAAATCTTTTCGCAAGTCTTTCCAACATAGGCCTTACTATTTTCTTAAATATCTCCTAAAATAGTGATCGAATAAAAAAATGTTTCCTATAGAAGTTACTTGTTTTTTTGTGTAGAATAAAATTCTGCAATAAAAAATATAGGTTTCCATTTAAAAAAACAAATTTGACCTTCAAATTACGTTGAAAACGCCTTCCAAATAAAAAATTGATAATGCCGTTCTCTTTCCCCCTCGAAATCATGGAACACGTGTTTTAGCTTTTTTTTTGTATCTTTCATACTTTTCGAGATAATCAGCTGGAAAGTTTTTAAATGAACATCCTGTATATACATATATACATATATTTTATAGATCATTATATATAGCTTTTTGTAGAAAAAAATTTCAAATTAATTTGTCAAATTTTTTAAATTGACATTTTGAATTTGTTTTAATAGCATACGTTTCTAACAGTTTCTTTAAATTCCTTTTGTATAAATTATTTTTATATAAAGTACAATTAAATTACGCACCTCTGTTGTCTCCGATAATCTATTTTTGGAAATGGTAGATATGTCGTTGTGAGATAAAAAAAGTTTATTTACTGATCTGAGTTTTAATTTTTCCAAGTCTGGTATTTGTGTTAACCGATTATGAGAGAAATTCAAATAAAATTTCGAAATTGTGTTAACCGATTTTGTTAAATTTTGAATAAACTGAATGTTAGGTTCTGTTATATTGTTTGGCACATTAGTTAAGTTTTTATGAGAACAGTCAAATATGAAAGCTTTATCATAAGGCTTCAAAAAGCAATCGCACTTTTCGGGGCATATAGTAATGGAATCTGTGTTTTGTATTTTACAGGCTAAACTTTTAGAATACAACCGGACTTTTTCCAATTCTTTCGGACTATGACAAATTAAATTGTTTAATTCTATCTGAAAATGGCCTTGAACATTACGCATTTCGCCTTCGTAATAACGTAGAAAATCGTACACGTCACAATCACAAGTTAATGGGTTATTTTCCACTAATATTTTTACGTTATGAAAAGTTTTACTTTTCTCTTTTATGATGTATTCGGCATCGTGTAAAAAGATATGTTGTATTTTATTATGAGTCAAGTTCACTAGAATGTTGTCCGATGAAAACAGTAAATCATCTGTCTAAAATTCAAAACATGATGGTATTGTCTTATATTCATAATCCACAAAAACAATTTCATATATCTAATATACATGGTGTTCTAACGTTAAATGATTAAACTTTGTCAGTATGATTAGAAATAACTGATTCACTATTAATAACAGTTTCGTTGTTAATACATTACGAGGTGAAAGTAGGTCAGCAATGTTTATCTAATAAGTTTATTGCGCAATAATATTGTGTGCAATGTGTATGTGCGCAATAATGTCATGTGTGCAATGTGTATGTGTGCAATAATGTCTTGTGTGCAAACGTATGTTTGTATTTTTAATTTTTAAATGTGCGCAATAATGCTTGTAGGCAATCGCTCTGTAGGCAATCGGGAATGTCGGCAATTGAAGCTGTCGGCAAAATGTTGTGGGCAAACGAAGCTGTTGACAAATGGGAATGTAGGCAGTTGAACCCCTCTCTGATGTGATAGTGAAACGTTTCTAGAATTTATATTTATATAACATTTTTTTTCTTATTTCTACTTATTGATCAAACTGGTAAAGTTTAATTGTTTAACTTTAGAACATCTTGTGTATATCACTTTCCGAAGTGCTGTTTTAAATACTTACTTTTATAGTAGATATGTTGTTGTAGCTGAGATCCAATGTCTGAAGTTTCTTGAGATTAGTTATCCAATCCTCCAATATTTCGGAAATGCTATTGTTAATTAAATATATTTTTTCTATGTTGCTGTATAAGTTGAATGTAAAGAACCATTTAGATAATGTAAGAGAATTGTGAGACAATTTTATAATCTTCAAATTTGTTAAAAATCCAAAACTATAATTTGAAATAGTTCTGAGACGATTTCGTTCCATATTTAGTTGTTCCAATCGGAATAATCTATTAAATAGGTTTCTGAAATATAAAAAAAATTTCTGTATCAATAAAATCATAAAACAAGTAAGCAATTATTATCAATCATATAATAAAAGCGATTTGAACATACTCGGAAATGGTAGTAATGCGATTATTTGATAAATTCAATTTTTTTAATTTCCTGGTATTTTCGAAAATATTATCCGGCAAAGTTTCTAGATAATTAGAGCTCAATTCCAGTTTTTCTAACTTTGACAAATCTTGGAATATTTCTACGGGCAAAGATTGGAGGAAATTGTTACTCAATATAATTTCCTTCAACGAAGATGATCTCCAAAAGAGATCTTTTGGTAATGTGACTAGTCCATTATTTATCAGGTCCAAATGTTCCAGGTTTGTTAAATTGCTAAAAGATCCATTCAATAAAGTCAGATTTCTTTGGTTGTGGAATAAGTAAACTGTAATCAATTTTGTATTGTTTTGTATAAAATCTCTCGGCAGATTTATAAAATTGTTTCCTTTTAAAAAAAGATGGTTAAGGTTTTCCAGCTTTGCAAATATATTTTTTGGTAAACTGGATAAGTTATTCATTGAAACTTCAAGATTTTCCAAAGCGACAAGTTTGTCGAAAATACCCGATGGAAGCTCGGTTAATGAATTATTAATTAGATGCAAATACTTTAAATTTGTCAGCCTGTCGAATGCGGTTGGTTCTATCCGTCTCAAACAGTTATTCCTCAAAATGAGTTCAATTAATTTGGGGGTAAAATCAAAAGATTCAGCGACCAAATGTCCAATATAGTTGTTCCATAGTTCAAGAATTATCAATTCTTTCAAATCAGCTAACCGATCATTGTCCAAATGAATGTGGTAGTTTTTTATTCTCAGACTTTTTAAATGTTCAAAACCGTTTAGATTATGCTTTTCCAAGGTCAAGTTCCTGTTTTTGTATGAGTTAAGAACTAATTCCTTAATGTCTGTAGCTCCTAGCATTCGCACAATGTCAATCAATTTGATGTTCTTAGGTAAATTACACTTTTCGAACAGCATCCAGTGGTTAGAAATCCGAGAAATATTATGAAACGTAATATTCAATACGTCCAAATTAAAATGTGACAAGTCCGCTGAGTTGATACAAGTGATCTATGTGAAAAAACATTTTTGATGTTAATTTGATTTAATTATCTAAAAGTTAAAAAAAAAGAAAAAATGTTTATTTGTGAAACTTTCCATGAATTTTATACTAAATTATTTTTTGAAGTGAAATTTTAAGTAAACAGTTGTAAGTAAGACATTGAAAAACTTTTTAAAGAAAGATGGAATAAAAAATATTCATAGAAAATACTTTGCTCTACAAAACATATTATTAACTATAAAAACATGAATATCACAATCATGAAAAAATTAATATTTCTTAATTTTTTATGTCTTATAATATTTCTGAATTGTATAATATAGCAAAGAATCGGTTTGTATCTATATTAGTCGTTTTTTAATTTTATAGTTTTTGATTTAGATTTTTATAGTGATATTGATTGTAAGTACACAAAGTTTGAAACTTATATATCGCACACTCGCAAGAAAAGTGACACAAGTTAAAATTGTTCGAATTTTGTTTTATGCGTGGACTGTGTTCTAAATCGGTTTTTAATCAGGAAAAGTGATAGAAGTCGAATTTAAATACTTTCCACGTGTGTCCGATATGTTTAATACTGCCGTAAATAATTAATTTTTAAATTATTGTTTATCCAAGTATGAACATGTGGAATTATTTTTTTTTAAATCAACTTTGCCTTAGACGATTTATAATTAGTGACAAAATTTGAAATAAAAACTAATTTATAATATTATTAATGGGAAACGTTATTATTAAAGCAATTTCTTCTTTCCTCCTCAATAAACATTAGAACATTCTATGTACGTCCTATGTATATACATATATGTATATTGTATATTCTATGTATATACAGAGAATGTGAAAAGTATATAAAGCACATATCTTATGTATGTGAATTAATTACCACATGTATTGTACATAGGATGTCCACAGTACATACATAGGTATATTCCAAAGATATGCAATGTACATTCGTGGTATATACATGGGGTATATTCCGAGGATGTGCAGTGCACGTTCGCAGTATATACATAGGATATATTCCGAGGATGTGCAATACACATTCGTGGCATGTACATGAGGTACATTCTATGTATGTACATAGTATATACAGTACGTTTTTTTCTCATTATGGATATTCCATGTATATAGAATATTGAATGTTTACTGGGTAATAAACAATTTTCATTCATTCGGATATTTATCTACCCCATTTTTGAACAATTAGTTTATCTAAATTCTCTGTGTTGGGATTCAGATATTAAACTGATAGAAAAAGTTATTACATCTTCAATATCATTACCCGCTTTTTGCAAGTTTTATATAATTCTCATGATTAAAACTTAAATACGAGATAGATAGCGCATAATGTGTCACATAGCGGCAAGCGAACGAACTAATGACTGATTCTATGTATATCCATACAATATCCTATGTACATCAATAAATGTACCTATATCAGCGTATATCGTATGTATGTACGTTACATGTATACATATGGAATGTACACGAGGTATATTCTATGTATTAGGTCGTTCATTAAGTTCTGCGGTTTTTTTTACCTTACATTAAAACATAAATCTATCGTACTTAAAGATTTTATTAATTTAAAATACATATATTGTCCATCTTGATCGACAACCTTTTGCCAACGTTCTGGAAGAGACATAATGCCGTGTTTGTAGAAGTCGTGCGACTTCTGCGCGAAAAAATCCTCCAAGTACCTTTGGATATCATCCATTAAATTAAAGCGCTGTTCGTCGAGATTATTTTGGAGGGATCGAAATAGGTGGTAATCTGATGGCGCAATGTCTGGGGAGTACGGTGGGTGCTGCATGATTTCCCAGCCAAAACTCTTCATTTTCTGTTTGGTCACCAAAGCAGTGTGTGGTCTGGCGTTGTCATAGTGGAAGACAACACTCTTTCTGTTCGCCAATTCCGGCCGCTTCTTCGCAATTGCCTGCTTTAATTTGTCCAACTGAGCGCAGTACTTTTTGGCGTCGATGGTCTGACCGCACGGAAGCAGCTCAAAGTACAGGACGCCTCGCCAATCCTACCATATACTCAGCATCACTTTCTTCGGATGCAAATCCGCTTTGGCGTCCGATTGCGAAGACTCACCCGGTCCGCACCACGACTTCTGGCGTCGGATGTTGTTGTACACCATCCATTTTTCGTCTCCCGTGACCACCCGTTTTAGAAATGGCTCTAGCAAATTCCATTTTAACAAAGATTCGCAGACCATAATGCGATCCAAAACGTTTTTTTCGGTGAGTTTATGAGGGACCCAAACATCTGCCTTCTTCGTTAATTTAAGCCGTTTTAATCGCTGCGCAACAGTTGTATGGGCAATGTTGAAGTGTTTCGCGATTTCTCGCGTCGTCAGGTGCCGGTCAACTTTAATTGCGGCCAAGATTTGATCATCATCAGCGATGGATGGACAACCGGAGCGGGCAGTATCGGAGAGGTTTGCATCTCCGGAACGAAAGCGCTCAAACCATCGCTGGCAAGTGTCAGCACTTATGACCGAGTCCCCATATACGCCACATATCTCACGCCATGCGTCCGTTGCTTTTACTCCTTTCCGGAAGAAAAATAATAAAATGTGCCGAAAATGCATCTTTTGATTCTCCATTTTTAATGAATAGCGCACACAAAAAACACGTCAAAATACAATAAAGTCTACGGTGAAATGTTAAGTATTATCTAACCTGTCAAAACAATATGCGGCAATTTTCACTTCGGACGGTGCATCTTTTTTTTAAACAAACAAACACCATATACCGAAAAACCGCAGAACTTAATGAACAACCTAATATATACAGACAGCGATCTCGTTTAAATATACATTCTATGCATATCTATAAGATATCTTATGTATATCCACAAATGTATCTACATCAGCGTATATCATATGTATGTACATAATATATACAGTACATTTTTTTTACATTATGGATATTTCATGTATATATTGTACATAGGATATCAAATGTTTACTGGGTCTCTAATAATTTGATATTTTTGATTTGTATTACTTTTTTTGCGAGTGTGCAATATATCAATATGAAACATTCATGATGTGATAAATACGTACCAATATGTAAGCACGGTCGTTGTTAATAGATATTTCGAAAACAAAATTATTATTATCTATTCTACATCTTACATAAGTTGGCACCAAGTTCCTATATGTACATTGACACTCCTTGTTTGTTGGACATTGGAGAGCAAAAATGCTTGTCATAGCGATGAACAGAATTACGATGCATGTCTTATGACGGGTACTCATTTTTGTCTGATTACCTATGAAAACTATCGAGTAAACGTGTTATTAAATAAAAATCAATTTAATAACTACAAAAAAAAATTTTTTTTAAACTTTGAAATATTGCCTGACATTGGATAAATTTATTTCTTAAAGTTTTATATAAGTTTCGAATAATTGAAAAATCGTAGAAACTGTGTTAAAGACTGCGACGTATTTCGCCGTCGCTAGATGAAAACACGAAGCGTCGGGTTTTCGGACGCGAATAAACATGAGCTACCGTCGCTATTAACCGGAGTACGCGAAAACGCGACATGAAGTTGGGCGCCAGACGCAGATGCGTCAGTTCTACTCCACGCAGAGCCTTTCCGATCGCGAAATCCCAAACCCTTATTGTATCAGAATATCGAATTCGGCAAGGACGGGCTCGGCAAGCTCAACCTAACGGTAGAGGGACAAGGCGGTGAGCTGGGTACGCGAAATAACAAATTGAGATTAGACGAACACAACGGAACACATGAAAGAAATAATACACGGGCATCTACCAAATAATGGAAAATAATAACAAATTTATTCGAATCAGAAAAATGAATTACAGCCGTAAAAAGCAGAATAAAAAGAAAAATAAAAGAAAAAAATAGTCGTTAGAATACGAGATTTGATAATCGGTGAAGAAGGAAGTAAACTGAAATTAGCGTTCGCTATCGGAAGCTGTTACTTAATCTAAAGCGGCTCGACTAGATATATTAAATGAACAAGTTGAAGGGCCGACGCCTAGCGGCGGATCTCGAGCGGAATTAACCTACGACGCTTTACAATAGCTAGAGCTGTTCGAAATATAAAAGAAAAGAGTATTAATTAGTCCGGATCTGGTCCGGGAAACGCATACGTTCACGGGGCTACCGAGTCCGGAAACGCGGTAGGCCGACGCGGCCGTACTTAATAACTAACAAAACCGAATTTTTCCCGAATACGGCTCATATGCACGACACGCGGACGCGAATCTTTAACGCGAACGAGACGGACAGCACAACACGGAACTACATTCACGCGAATCGGCGATCGCACACGCCCTACGACAATTACAACGCACAATACGGTCTTCGCTATCTCTCTCGCACTCACGCTACACACAGACAGCACAAACAGCTGATTACGCTCGCGGCGATCTCCCCGATGTCTCACGCATGTGATACGCGCAATTTCGAGTCATGCACGCGATACAATACACTTGCGAGTACGCCCGATTTCGCTCGCTCGGTCTATCTTTCCGGAAGCCCGAAAGCCTCCCCGAAACAACCAAATTCACGGCAAGAATTCATTAAAACGTGCGGCCGACAACGTTAGCTAACCCGACGCGACCTTTAACCTACAAGGGCACACGAGAAGCTGGTTGAAGTTTGGAACGTTCCTGGAACGATTTTTTAAAAATAATTTGTCGCTCTTGTCCTTTTGCAGGGAGGAAGTTTCAAAATCCACAAACAAAGTACAAAAGAGACCGATCCGATACATGCGTCGGAAAACACCCTTATACCCGAAAAACTACCCCCAAAATCACTTAAACAATTCTAGCCAAGCTAAAAATGATTTGTCGCTCTTTTTCTTCTGCACGGAGAAAGTTTCGAGGCCCTCACACGACATGCATAAGAGACCGATCTGATACATGCGTCGGAAGACACCCTTACACTCGAAAAACCACCCCTAAAATCACTTTAACAATTCTCGCCAAGCTAAGGGTGTCTTCCGACGCATGTATCAGATCGGTCTCTTTTGCATGTCGTGTGAGGGCTTCGGAACTTTCTCCGTGCAAAAGGAAAAGAGCGACAAATTATTTTTAGTTTGACTAGAATCGTTTAAGTGACTTTGGAGGGTGGTTTTTCGGGTGTAAGGGTGTCTTCCGACGCATGTATCGGATTGGTCTCTTTTGTACTTTGTTTGTGAGTCTCGAAACTTCCTCCCTGCAAAAGGACAAGAGCGATAAATCATTTTAAAAAAATCGTTCCAGGAACGTTCCAAACTTCAACCAACTACACGAGACGCAAAACACGAAATACCGAGCGAACGACCTCGCGACGCTACGGGATTCTCGCAAAAGCCTCAATTTGTAACCAAAGTAATACAACGGCAACCTCACCGGAATTCTGCTCGCTGGACGCAACTTCTCGCCCTCTCGCTCTCTCGTTTTCCCGCTCTCTCTCTTTCAACTCGGCAAGCGGGAGGCTTTACGCGACAATGGCCGGAACGCAACAGGACGAGCCCTGGATCGCGATCATGGACGTACTAATATCTGGACGGAGCGTTATGGCGCGGGGGGTGAAGACTTTAGGGGAGGGAGGGGTCGCCATATTGGTTTGCGATACTAGTGCTGCTTTCTAGTGGTAGAATAAAAAGACGTTCATGTTTACACATATTAAATTTTGAATTGTGTGGCAGTTAAATAAAATATTTGCGGTATTATTAAAAATTGGAAAAATGCCACTTTGTGCAGCCATCGGTTGCCGCAATAAAAGCTACCGAAAAAGTAGAGAACAAATTAATGTTGAAGAAAATCTTGAAATAACATTTCACAAGTAAGTATTACATTATAATCTAAAAATTAAATTTACTTTTAATAAAATAAGATTTTTTAGTAGTTAAAGTTATAAAAATTTAATGTAAAAGTTTTTGCTGCTTATTTATTGTAGCTACTTGCTTGTTTTATATATTATATATACCTATATTAATACTAAAAGACAATTTTAATACTTGATATGTTGCATAATGTAATTTTATATATTTACATCTCATAACATTTTTCAATTATATTTTTCTTAACACTAAATTAAATTTATATAAAATGTATATTTGTGTAACATTAAATTGATGTATTTTACTAGATTTCCGAAAGAAAAAACTAAAAAATTAGCTTGGGCTGAAGCAATGGGCCTTCGTGTGGAATATTTACCCAAATCTGCATATTTATGCTCATTGCATTTTTTAAAAGCTGATTTTGATCGTACTTCTGTTACATGTACAAGATTAAGAGAGTTTGCGATTCCACATGTAAGTATAATTTTATTTACAATTTTATTATGCTTTAATTTTATTGTTTGAAATCTTTGAGTTTTATAAATTTAAATGCATGCATATCTTAAATATTTCAATTACGAATTCGTCTGTTGAATATTGTGTTATTCTAAATATTTTTTTTGAGTATAAAATTAATTGCATTTCACTATAATTGCACATTTACATCAATATAATTTTGAATATTACATTTACAGTCAAGTACTTTACATGATAAAATTGAAGATCATGAAACTAATGAAAATAATGAAGCAATGGAAAGCGAATTGCCAGTGGAAATGTCATTTGAAACAACTGAAAATAATAAAGCAATTGAAAGCGAATTGCCAATGGAAATGTCATTTGGAACATCTGTTGCCAATGATGAATTGGCAGTAAGTATATTTCAGTTACACACTCCACGTATATGTAACAAATAATTATTATGAAATTGTGCTTGTTATAATTTTGACTTTTGTATCTCTTTTGTATCTCTTTGACATTTATATAAAAAATGCTGTAAAGTGTTTTTATTTCTCGTGCACTATATAATGAATAACATTTTTAATTTTATATATAATTACAGTTGGAGTCGGAATCAGAAATTCAAACATGTCACATGGAAGAATGTGAAAGAGATACCAAAGAATTAGAGGACACACCAAGAAAAAAATTATTGCGTAAAACATTAGTCAACCAAAGAAAGTTTTATCAACGACAAGTACGAACATTAAAGCAAAAAAACAAGCGTTAAGAAGAACGAATCACAAAGATAAATACAATATTAAAGGAGTTAAAACAAAAAAGTTTATTAACAGATGAACATGCAGATTTATTAAAAACAATTCGTAAGTGTGAAATACCATTATTTAAGCGTGTAATAGCAAAAAGTAATGCATCTATTAATAAGAAAAAGCATCTTTCTAAAGAGTATTCGCCTGAAATTAAAAAATTTGCATTAACTTTACATTATTACTCACCTAGAGCATATAATTATGTACGCAAACATTTTAATGCATGTCTGCCACACCCAAAATCTATAAGTAAGTGGTATAAATCGATCAATGGAAATCCCGGTTTTATGGAAGAAGCATTAAACAATATTTCTAAACGAGTAAAAGCTACAAATTATCCACTTTTTGGTACCTTAATTTTTGATGAAATGTTAATTAGACAACATATTGAATATGATGGTGAAAAATTTTGTGGCTATGTAGATTTTGGGGATGAAATTATAAGTGATAATACCAACATTGCTAAAGATGCTTTGGTTTTTCTTTTTGTTTGTATGAATGCTGCATGGAAAGTACCTGTCGGCTACTTTTTAATTAATGGAATAACGGCAGATCAGAAAAGTAGTCTGATTAACTGTTGCATCAGCTTGTTGCATGATACTGGTGTGAGAGTTGTTGGGTTGACTTTTGATGGTGCTAATATTAATTTAAGTACTGTAAAAAAATTGCAATGTAATTTAACACCAAGTTGTTTACAGACTTGGTTTCCTCATCCGGTTACGAAGGAAAAAATATTTATTTTTCCGGATCCATGTCACATGATAAAGCTAATTCGTAATATGTTTGGAGATTGTAAGATTATTTTAAATGGCTCCAAACAGCTTATCAAATGGCAGTACATTATACTCTAAATAATCTACAAAATAAAGAAGGTCTCCACCTAGGCAATAAGTTAAGATCAGTACATATTGAATATAAAAAACAAAAAATGAAAGTTCGTTTTGCTACTCAGTTATTTAGCAAATCTGTAGCTGATGCACTTGAAGTTTGTAAAGAATACTTACGTCTTCCACAATTTCAGGATTGTTCAGCAACAATAGAATTTTATCTATATTTAATGATTTATTTGACATATTTAACTCCAAAATATGAGGCAATTTAATTATAAGCAACCTATTAATCGTTTAAATTATACAAAAATAATGAATAAAATAGAAGAATGTAAGCCTTACATTTTTAATTTACGGCTTCAAGATGAGATTCGAGTTATTGATTCTGCAAGAAAACCTGGTTTTCTTGAATTTTTGATATGTATCGAAAGTTTAAAAGAGTTATATAACGAATTTTGTGATAAAACCAACAATTTAAATTATATTCCAACATACAAAATAAGTCAAGATCATATAGAATTGTTTTTTGGTTGCATTAGATCCAGAGGAGGTTACAATAATAATCCCACAGCTCGCCAGTTTAAGGCAGCTATGAAACAATTATTAATTCATTCTGAAATTAGCAGTTCGGGTAATGGTAATTGTATACCTCTTGAAAATATTGAAATTATGCACGTGACTTCCTCACAAAATAGTGAGCATATAATTAACAATTCAACTCCATTGATTGATAATCTGCAACTAAATTATAATGTGTCTCCAGACATAAACGATCATGACTACTTTTCAGACATTCGTACAATCACTGAATTTTCTTCAAGAATTATTGTATATATTGCCAGTTTTGTAGTACGACACTTAAAAAAATCATTGTATTGTGAGGAATGCGTTTATGCACTAACAACAGGTGAAAAAAATGTAAATTCTATTTTAGTACAAGTAAAAAGTCGTAATAATTTATAATATCTATCATCTGATGTGACCAAAATTTGTCATGAAGCAGAAAGAGTCATACGTTTTGCTTTAGCAGAAAGTGGAGGAAAATTTATGAAAAATAAATTTTTGGAAGCTTATCTTGTAAATTGCGTTCTTGTAAAATTCACAGAATCGAATAATTTGTTTCTAAACTTAAAAGAACATTCATATGATCAAAATCCTTTGGAAAATCATATTATACATTTAATCAAAAGCAATTGCCTGTAAATATATAAAAATTAGACTTTACCATATTGGTAAACAAGCTATGGATAGCGTAAGAAGTGAAAGACACTTTCGCAATAAATTAACACTGTTTCAGGGACAATAGTATTTTAAATTTAAAAAAAACATTCGATTTTGTTAATTTAAAAAAAATGCTACTTTATTTATAAAGATCTAAGAATTACAGTATACGTTTATATTTTATTATATGTTTATATTTTTATTATATGTGTATATTTTTATATCTGCATACTATACAAATATTATATAAGAATAAATATTGGAACTGTTCTATATCTAAAAAATATTATTTTAAATTATAAGACACCATGCTCTTTTTTTCTTCAAACTAACTGAACTTTTTTCCTCTAATTCAATAATATATAAGACAGATGTTTTTATTCAGAAAATGTTTTTACATAAAATAATATATTTACATTTGATTATATTTATATGTATTTACATTTAACCAACTAATGCAGTAATGTTAAACTACAGTTCAATTTATTGATTATTTTTTGAGTTCATTAAAATTCTATTAAATATATATACTAATTTAATATAATAATTACACACCACACACACATATTAAATATTAAACAAAAATAAAAATTATATATAAACAGAATATATGTAAAAAATATTGTATTTAATCAATTAATTTTCGTATAAATCCTATTCTCATATATTGGAAATAAAAGTAATATATTTCAAATAGGGCGCTAAAATATCGCCAACCAATATGACCGATCCCCCGCCCCGCTGGTATCATTCCCCTCGCCATGAAATGAACTTTACGCTCCGTCCAGATATTAATACGTCCATGATCGCGATCAATCACGCGTCGATATTCAGCAGCTCGGCCGTGACCGCGCATGCGACGCGGGTCGTGCGACCAATTAGCGCGCTTCCTTACGCGCGTGACCTTTGGCGCCGGACAGTGGCGCTGGATCTTGGGGCTCCGCGTGCTGGCGCGAAATCCATTTTTATTTGTAAGGGCCTCCCTCGCCCTCGACCCTACGGCGTCCCGGGCCCACGTGAGCTAGCGGGGTTGCGGCTAATCCTCTGCTCTCTCTCAACGGCTGGAGCGGCCGGGATCCTCCGGCTGTTTTTGCACTCCGGCCTCGGTTCTCCCGAGTCCTCGACCCTGCCTAGATCCCCGGGCGGGTCTTGTTTTACGCACGTTCACCGCGGTCCCCTTTCGCTCCGTCCAGGCCCGGAATCCACCATGGTTTCCCCGAACGTCCTCCGGTTCCGCCAAGGTTACCTGCCCTGTCCTGCCGTGGTGTTGCTTCTATAGAACTAATTCGCGTGGTTTTTGATTTTAAGAATTTATAAATTCTTAAAATCTACGTTAGACCACTCGGGGAGATTTCGGTGCTTATTAGCTCTCTATTGATCGGATTATTTATCGGAAATTGTTGTTGCATTCCGCCCGTCTTTCGGGTTCATGAAACAGCAACGTTACAAGACACATTTTTTCTTGCTAGTATTTTGTTTTATAATGTGTATAATACGTATAAAAATTATAATACATGGATTATTTCTGACAATTTTTGCACATACATATAAGTGCAATTGTTTGTTTACAAAGTGGCTAGGTTTAATTTAGCTGCGTATGTAAATTGTGTTAAAAACAAGAGAGTAGAATTATTAAACACTGTTTATCGTTTACGTAGGTGACATATAAATATAAATGACACTCTTGCAAATAATAATTCGAATTTTCTTCTTTATTATCTTTAAATATTATAGCAAGTAGGAAGCAATGTTCAGAAAAACAGAAATCGATTATTCTTGAAAATAAATTACTTCAATAAATCGAATAATACTGTGTTAGCCACCAATATTTATTTCATAACGCTTGTAGGACTTTCACATTTTGCAAAAGCATTTACTACGCAAATATACGGTTAAATTCTACACTACATACGTGACTGATCATTAACAGAAGGTGACGTATGAATAGATTCATAAAAATAAAATTCATACTAATTACTCACTTTGTATTATATTAAATACGTTATAAATGTTTATCAGCTCCGTTTTTGCTTTCTCTAATAAATAATAATGATGACAAACAGGGACGGATTTCGGTTTCTGCCGCTCCTAGGCTGAATCAAATTTGCCGCCCCTTAATGACAGTGGAGCAAGGGGAAATTTTTTTATTAATTAAATAAGAAATAGATAATAAAATAGGGAACAGGTATCTTATATACAGGGTGTCCCATTTTAATTTATCATCCTAAATATTTCCGTTCCCTTGCATTTTACAAGAAAATGTTTCAGACAAATGTTGTATGGTTTCAAGAGGGCCATAAAATAATTTCATTAGTTTGACCTTGGATAGTCGTTTAAAGGTCACACGAAGGTCATCTTCAATTTCTTAAATTAAAACCTCCATTTTTTATTACATATTTTTATAGCTTATTTTGAGAGCTTTCCAAAAACACTATAATAAAGTTATTTTCCATTAAGTATTTGTCGCGTTATGAGGTTTAAAAGTTACGATACTGCCGGCATTAGCGTTATCCGAGATGTACCACGTGGAGATTGCACGGTCAGATTTACATCTCTCGTGTGTGTGTGTGTGTGTGTGCGCGCGCGCGCGCGTATTTAA